TAATAAATAAGTAAATAAATAAAGCGGAAATAGATATCATGGTTCAGCTTTATTTATTCATCTATTATTTAATAAGGTGTAGCCTCCCCTTAATTAGGTAATCCCCAAACAAATGAAAATCAATTGTGCACAACCAGGGCTGTGGGCACCACAAACGAAAACACGACAGACTGTACACGCGCGGCAACAGCCGTGACACGCGCACACTCGCTGATGCTGGTTGTTGGCTGCTGGCTGATAGCTGCATAGCGTAGCCCATTTAGGCAATATAACTGGCTGCAGCTGCTGGCTGGTTAGATAACGCTAGCTACCATCCACAAAACCCAGCGACGACAATAAAACCGGCCGGTCACCACCAACTGTCCACCAACTGTCCACCAACTGGATCAACATCTGCCAACCTCTTCCAACCAAACATATCTCCAACGGACAACTTCCACCATGACAACCATATTTCTCGACCCGATCCTCCATATCTTTGGACTCCCTTATTTTCCTGCTTTGAACTAGTCCTTCCGTTTGCAACGAATGTCGTGGTTTGAGCAAGGATGTCTCCCTTTTCATCTTTCTTTTGTGCATGGTAGGTTTGAAAGCAGAAGGGTGATGAGAGGAAAAAGCCGCGGTGGCAGCAATGCCAGAGATGAAGAGCCGCAGCGGCGGCAGGGGAGGGAAATGCACCGCANAAAGGTCGCGGTGGCAGCAAGCCCAGAGGAGAAGATCCGCAGCGGCGGCCGGGGAGGGAAATGCACCGCAAAAAGGTCGCGGTGGCAGCAAGCCCAGAGGAGAAGGGCCACAGCGGCGGCCGGGGAGGGAAATGCACCGCAAAAAGGTCGCGGTGGCAGCAAGCCCAGAGGAGAAGAGCCACAGCAGCGGCCGGGGAGGGAAATGCACCGCAAAAAGGTCGCGGTGGCAGCAAGCCCAGAGGAGAAGATCCGCAGCGGCGGCCGGGGAGGGAAATGCACCGCAAAAAGGTCGCGGTGGCAGCAAGCCCAGAGGAGAAGGGCCACAGCGGCGGCCGGGGAGGGAAATGCACCGCAAAAAGGTCGCGGTGGCAGCAAGCCCAGAGGAGAAGAGCCACAGCGGCGGCCGGGGAGGGAAATGCACCGCAAAAAGGTCGCGGTGGCAGCAAGCCCAGAGGAGAAGAGCCACAGCGGCGGCCGGGGAGGGAAATGCACCGCAAAAAGGTCGCGGTGGCAGCAAGCCCAGAGGAGAAGAGCCACAGCGGCGGCCGGGGAGGGAAATGGGTTGAAGTCACCGCCGCCGCAGCAGCAGCGCTAGCAGCAGCAGCAGCAGCGCCCGCAAAGGCCCCTGCATTAGTGCGCGGTGGCTGAAAGGGCCGTGAAAGGTGTCCGCCCATGTCTGCCGATCCGAACCTCCGTTGCGAGGTAACGAGCCAAAGTGCCAGGACCCCTTTCCTGGAGCTTCTCCCATTATCACTACTTCATCACTGCCATCATCACTGTCACCGTCGCTGGGCTCGATACCTTCTCGGCTGCCGTCCGCGTCGCCACCGTCGATGCGGCTGGTGTGACCGGGAGGCGCCTGTGCTTCCACCACGTTTGTTTTCCAGTTCAGGCGTCGCAGCTCTTCGATGCAGCAACGGCGGCGTGGGGCCGTTGCCGTCCAGCAGTGCCTCTTCAGCATCTGTCGGCGCCGCCGCCTCATCCGCCGGCTGTACGAACTCACTGGGACGGCACCTTCCCATGGGCCCCGTCGGTGCTGAGGGTGTATTAACCAACGTCCCGGTGCGGCCGGCGGAGACGCGACGTTTCGGTGCACTTCTGATAAAGGCAAAGTCCGCTAGGGGTCTTACTGCCGGCGCCGCCGCGGCGGCAGCTGCTGATAGCTTGCTGACGGCGCCGGCACCGCTGTCCAGCGAGCCACCCCTTCCCCGTTGCTGCAGTGCCTGTGAGGGCAGCGGAGAAAGCCGCCGTGCAAGAACAGCAATTTGACAAGAACTAAAAGATGCCAACGGCAAGACACCGACAGTGAGACGCCGACGGCGAGACGTCCATGGCGAGACGCCGACGTCGCATGCGGCACAACAACAAAAACCCACAACAGACAACAGCGCTTTACAACCAACTAACGAACAAGACGTGACGCACTGCAAAATTGTACAATGACGTACATAAGGCAACGTCAACAAGGAAATGCACAGCACAGACAAGGGATGCGTTTAACTAGCGCGTGACTCACCGGAGGTACGACAAACCGTGACGTGGAAACGCCGATGGCAAGACGCCGACGGCGATCAAAATGGCATGTCTTCCACGTCGACGGTGATGCTGATGGTGAAAATGACGGTGGCGGCCCAGACCCGGCAGGTGTTGTTGCAGCGAGTGATCAGGGGATTCAGGCGGGGATGACGGGGTTGCATACACACTACGAAACGGTTTCGGAGTGGCCGAATTCGCAACAGATTCCAATGAAACGCAAGACATGGAACCAAACGACCCTCGACCATGCCATGCCATCATGCATACCACAACAAAGGGTTGATGATGCAGATTGATTGGTGGTCGGCAATCCAAATCCGGCATCCGGCATCCGGCCGACGGTGAGGCGGCCGACGGTGAGGCAGCCAACGGCGAGGCGGCCAACGGCGAGGCGGCCGACAGCGAGGCGGCCGACGGCGAGGCGGCCGACGTAAGTCCTCGCCCAGGCTCGCTCAGACCGGCGGGGGCATCGGGCGGGAGGTGGGCGGGGAAATACACACACACACACGCTGTTAATCAGCTAGCAGGGGACGCAACGAGCACAGACTTTGCACGGCAAAACAACATGAGCAGCTGCGCACAAAATGCAGAAACATACTAATAAGCACACAGGCGGATCGCGGGCAGTTTCGAATATTCCATCACAAGTAAAAACATTAGCACCCTCACACATACCCACACATACGTATACATGCGTGCGCGTGGACACACACATACACCTTCTTACACACACCTACAGACACTTACACACGCACACCCGCGCGCGCGAGCACATT